TTAATAGAGTTGGAAGGGACCTTGTAGGTCATCTAGTCCAACCCCCCTGCCCAAACAGACCCTACACCATTTTTGACAGATGGCAGTCCAGTCTCTTCTTGAAAAGCTTCCAGTGATGAAGCTCCCACAACTTCTTTAAAGCTGCTTCTTAGCTCTTATTCTGGATGTTCTCTGCAGAGCCCCAATTTCAGCTTGGTAGAGGAGACCAAGGCACGATTTCTGTCAAGTTTTCAAAATGCACCAAAAGTAAGGCATGTAACAATTCAGAAAGTTAGAAATCACCTTCTACTGAAATATGCTAAGACTTTAACCTGCATTTCCGTGCTTTTATAGAAAAGTGGGTTTGCATTCATTTTGTATTCATTTTATCAAAGGTTCCAAATTATACTTCACACTTGGATAATGTGAACTGGTTTTGATGGAACAGAATTCAGCCTTCCACAACTTGGCACACACACACACCACCTCAATATATTGAATATATCTCTCATAATACCTAGAAGGAATGATGAGAGACATAACATCATAAAAAGTTACCTTCTACTATTGATTCATCTGGAATGGCCTACACTAGAAGTCATCTGGGAAATCTGGATGAGGACTAGAATGTAGCAGTTCATTCCTGTGTTTCTTTGCTACCATCCAGTGATGGGTTCCTAGCGGTTCGGACCGGTTAGGCCGAACCTGCAGTGGTTTGGCAGCCTGGGTCGCTGGAACTGGCAGCGACCCAGGCCTGCCACACCCACAAACCAGTGGTTTGGCGGTGGCAGTACCGCCATCTTGTTTTGCGGGTCTGCGCATGTGCGGAATAATTTTAATTGCACTGCCCATCAAGCGCGCACATGAGTGATCCATCAGTAGTGCCTGCCAGAACCAACCCCTGCTACCATCCAATTGTTATCTGGATTCTAGCAGACCAAAACTAGTCACATATTTTAACTCAGTACTGATAACATGAACTGGTAAAAGACTTTTATGGTTTTTCCCGTTCTATCTGGAGATTCCAAGTATTATAACTAGGACCATTAGTAAATTATCCCTCAACATATCCGAAAGACATTCAGGTCAGAGGTGGCATTCATCAGGTTCTGACCAGTTCTGGAGAACCAGGAGAGGAAATTTTGATTAGTTTGGAGAACCGGTAAATGCCACCTCTGACTGGCCTCGCCTCCTTCTATTCTCTGCTTCCCGAGTCCCAGCTGATCGGGATGGAATGCGGATTTTGCAATAACCTTTCCCTGGAGTG